AAAAACATGGAGTTATTGTTATTTATAGTTCATAATGTCTATGATTTTTCTTTTGGACTCTAATATACATAATATATCTAATACTAAATCACCTGTGGTACGCTCTGGAGTTATGTGATACTTTGAAAAGATACAAAACTTACCACCAATAAATATGTGCTGAGTCGACGTTACGCAGATGATTACTCACTGTTTTTCTCTTCACTTTAACAGGACCTCACATTGAGACACGGCTGGCGTACGGGAGCCATTGTACCAGAGTTGGAGCAGGAAACCAAAGTAGTATGTACGGACCGGTACGCACTGAACCTCACCTGGCTGCAGGCTGTTACCGGCCTGCTGGAGCAGCTGCAGGTGAGAAAAAAAACCTGAAGTGTTTCAGCAAAACAAAATGTCAGTGATGTTGTGTCAGCTATTGATTTTAAATTTTAGAAAAGAAATATATTTTTACATGTGTGAAAAAATCTTAAAAAACACAAATCACCATTTTTAAAGAAAATCTCTGGCTCCCCCCAGTGGCAGCTCCACACTTTTGGAATCCCTGGTATAATATTTATTAATTGTATGAATAATTTAAACATATTAATTATGTTTGCTAAAGTTAGTTTAAGGACTTACTGGCGCTTGATTTAAGACCTGAAAAGCAGTCAACAGAAGAGATTGTTTTTCAAAATAAAGTCCAATGCAGACTAATATAATTTTTTTTTAAATAAAAAAATTCCAAAAACAGTTTTTGATTCAAATTAAAAAAATTAAGAATTTAAGATATAAACTTAATAATAATAAAATAAAAATGTAATTCCATTCCAGTTTCAACAGACCCAGTGCTGGTCTCAGGCCAGTGGTCTGTGGTCTGTTCTTACTGAATAACCACTCAATGAAAATCATATATTTGCATAAAATATCTGAATTAAGCAAAAAGACCTTCAGTTTGAATGAAGCCTGAGGGTCATGTGACAAAGCTGTGACTCATTCTGACCAGTGTCTTTGAGTTCATGACTGAAACGTTTTTTTCAAATGGCCTTTCATCCAGACAAAAGGTCGTCTTGTTGTTGTTTGTCATGTGGAAAAAGTTCTGTTTTCATTTTTCTTTTTTTCTTTTTCTTTTTCACTCCAACACAGACGCACCAGGACCTGGAGTCTAAACGGGTTTTTCAGGAATGGCAGAAAGAGCGAGAAGAACTCAGGTTAGATGTCATCTAATCTCTTCACCCGTCTGGAGTTCAGATGTTTAAAATCCTAACCACATTATTATTATTATTATTATTTTGTCCTTTTTCCAGGATTATGACCAAGAACTTGTTCAACCCTCAGTTCGGCAGCATCTTCAGAACTTGTCACAACCCCACCTACTTCTCCAGACGTCTGTGTCGCTTCTCAGACATCTACATGGCGTCCCTCAGCTGTCTCTTGAACTACGACCCCACCTACACGTTCTACCCCCGCCGCACCCCGCTGCAGCACGAGGCTCCGTTGTGGATGGATCAGCTCTGCACGGGCTGCAGGAAGACGCCCTTCCTGGAGGAGATGTCTCACATCAGATAAGAGCCGCGCTCTTACAGACTCATCTGAACTGATCTGAACTCTGGGCCTGGAGAACACTTGAGATCCACTCCTCCTCAGCCAACATTCATCTCAGCTGCCTACACACAGCAGTCCTCATAGTGACCCCACTTACACTGTGTAATCGCTAGATGGTGCTGTAGACGTATTACTACGCAGAGGGACCGGTTGAATGTGCTGTGGTACATGATTGACAGTCTGATTTCTGCCTCAGTGTTAAAGCTGTTACCGCACAGATACAACAAATAAAAAACATTTTGTCTTAATCTTGGCCTCGGCTTCGTCACGTGTTCTTCATCACAGGTTCACAAGACAAAATAAACCAAGTGTTATTTTTAGCAGAGAGTTTGATTATTGATTATTGATCATTATTTGTTTCATTTACAGTTTGTTCCGGTACTTCCTTTGTCGTTAATCATTAATCGAAGGTCACGGGGAAAGCGTTGCACCCTGGGAGTTTCTCCTGTCTGACACTGGGACACAGTAATTCACACTGACATTCACACCTACGGCCAATTTAGAGTGAACAAGTAATCTAATCCTAAATTGGAAGACCGTTACTTAACACCAGGGATTGGACCAGTGACGTTTCTTTTCTGTAAGGCAAGAACATCAACCACTTCTCCATAGTATGGTTTCACCCTAAATACATATGGTAGGCATTTAATTTGTCCTTATAACCAGAAAACTGCTAATGTGAAATTTTCAGATCAGAAACTCCTAGTGGTGAAAAATGTGAATTGACATTTGTACTGGTCGATTTTACATATTTACTAATGAATAATAGTAATAATAAATCTATCTAGTGAATAGTAAATAATTGTTTCAATTACCACAGATCATTATTATATTTTGTGTCACTAAACTCAATACTGCATCTACTCCGCCTTAATTCACTCCATTCTTTATTTCCTTGCTGCCTCGGCCCCGCCCACGGTCCGCGACCCGGATGTTTTTTTTCCCCCCTTCAGTTTGACGTTGACCATGAGATTCTGCTTCACTGCATTCGTCTCCATGTACTTGGAAAAACAAAGTGTGCAAAAAAGAACGGAGTTCACAGTGAGTGACTGTTTTATGGTAACGTACATACAGCCGGAAGTTGTCGGTTCAAGTCCAGCTGTTCTTCACAGTCAGTTTTCTGTTGCTAGGAGGCGCAGCATCCATTCATCTTCACCTCACGAGCGTCGGAAACTCATCCACATCCACAGACGGCAGCCTGGAGACAACAGCCGAGGTACAGTGCTCTCTTTGTGGCTTCACTCACCGCTGACTTTCTCTCACTGTAACTGTGTCTGTGACGCGACGGAGGTCCGGGAGACCGGGGCCGTCAGAGGAAAGTACTTTGTTAGGATTTGATCGGTGTGTTGTGTCAAACACGGGATGTTTCTGTTGATAGCAACAACAACAAAAAAAAGTATTTATCGACGCGACGGTGAACCTGAACGCAGCAGTTGTGTTCGTGTTTCTGTGAGATGACGTTGTTACGGTTCGATACTTTTAGACGACGTTACGGTGAATTTGAACTTCTTACATTTAGGACTTTGTTTGTGTTGTTTTTCATGTTTTTATATCGGTGGTTCTTAAATTACGCATCACTTTAGGGGGCGATATACGCTGGCGGAATCGGTGAAAATAGCAAAAGTATTTGTCTACAAATCGTCCATTTACACACTTTTGGAAATGTTGTTTCCGTTAGAGATATTTTCTAAGGAAAAAATGTACTTCCTGAAACATGTTCCTTAGGTTTAGTTTAAAGATTTAATTCCTCGAATTTCATTACTGTTTCACTTTCGAGGGTTGTAAAACCCTGATCAAATTATTAAAAAAAAAAAAAGATTAGCAAAAAAGTTAGCACTGTTGGAGGCGCCAGAGAGGCGTGTAATGACGTGTCTTTGGAAATCAAATACGGTACCTTAAGAAATGATAACATCTGACTTAGAACTTTATGACCGAGTCTTGTAGAAGCTAAGTTACGGAAGTACTTAACGCTGAGTGCTCGCAGGTCGTACGGGAGAGCTGCTGTAGCTAACGTTAGCCTAGCTGTCCTTGCTTGCAGTAGCAATTTTTTGCAATGAAGTGACACTGTGTAAATGTTATCTTAATTTGAAACTGTGAAAAATCTCCTGGCTGACAAACTTCAGGTGATACTGCCACCTAGTGGGTTGTAGTGTGAATTGTCTGATGAAATACTTAATTTTTTTAATGTATTTTTTTCTTCTGTAAAAATGAACTGACATCAAGGTGTTAACATTGCCGTCTATCCTTGATATATAATCCCAGATTTTTACTCTTCGGCGCCACCATGCTGGGCTTCATGTATGTCCATTTTCTTTCCCTCTCCATCACTGAGTTACCTTTCAATCTCTCTTTTCCATTCCACGCTCAGCCACTTCTTTCCTTTGTGTCTCCTGACTCTGCTACAGCGTCGGTCGCAGGTTTGAGTGCAGACCTCGCAGCCTCTTCTATTATTAAACCTAATGGGAGTCGTACAGGACTGTGAACGGATCCTGTCTCTTCACCTGCTCCACACAGTGACTCAGTATTTACTAAAGGTTTATTGCGAAATCCTAAAATCCAAACACATGCGTAAAGACATGTTTTTGGGGCCTTTTGATTTAGGGATGTCCGATTTTTATCTTTTTGCCGATATCGTCCAAACACTTAATTTTGGATTCCGATATCGACTAATAACGATATATATGCAGAAGTTTGGGTTAAAAGCAGAGATCACATCATCTGGGAATCGCGTTTTCGGGGTTTCAATATCGGCGCAAAAATCGACATTCTTACCGATATTGCATTATTATGCTAATATCGGCCGATATTATTTTGTTATTAGATAATTGTAAAAATGTGAGAGCTGAAATGTGTAGAGAAACCTCAAGACTGCCCCCGATTGGCCACGCCATTGTCCTGCACCGACGCGGTTCACTTCCACATTTCCCGTTTCACTCTCACATGATGAGAGCATGTCGAACCAGCCGTGGTTTTTTTGTTGCTATTCCAGTCCTGTGTCCAATCATCAAAGACGGTGGACTGGTTTGGACCGCGCGGCCAATCGTCTGCAGTCCTGACATGTGACACGCGGTGGTGGACGTGTCACGAGTCGTGCCTTACATTTACGTCATGTTACGTTGCGGTTCACACAGAGACCGTTTGTCCAAATATAATTGTTTGAATTGATCATTAAACCTTGACGGCTGTTTGAGCGCCTCCGAAGACAAGTCAGAAAATTCTAAGACAAACACAAATTTTAACCATGAATCTACCTTTTAAAATTGAACGTCAGACAAAGAAGCAGGCTGGGAGCTGGAGTCAAAGACTTCAACTCCCAGAATTCTAATGGTAACTCCACTGCAGCAGCAGTGTGTCGACATAAATGAAGGATATGAAAAAAGAAATCACTGTTATGTCACTTCATGAATACCTTTTGTCTTGGAACTTTTCGACCCCGGTCCTGATCAGGACCAAACAGACCTCCTGACAGTTTCATCCTTTGTTTCCTGCTGCGTCTCATGGATTATTTACTCCCCGGTTTTTCGTGTGGATTCATCTCTTTTTAATTAGTCGTCACGTGGGCCGCTCCTCGGCCTCGGTACCAAACGTGCTGATCTGTGGGGTCCGGCCCACCCGGGCTTCAGTTTGACAGCTGCTGTGTTATGGAAGTGTTTTGTAAATTGCAGGCCTGTCTGTGATGTCTGGAAATACGAGCATGTTCTGCAATTAACTCAGTGAGTGGGCAAAGGAAGAGGGGATGATGGGAACATGGAGAACGGAACGGAAAACAATTTAATATTTTTTTTCTTCTGATAGAATACAATAGAAGATTCTATATGATGAAGAAGGGAAGTGGATAGAACCAACATCTCAGAATCAATTGGAGTGGAATAGAAAACAGAACAGAACAGAGTAGAATAGAAGTTTGAGTTTAATGAGGAATAAAAAACATTTGATGAATCAGAACAGAATCATTAATTTTTCTCACAGTCCAATGAATCCATTTATCCAGTTTGAGCAAAGACGCCATAAAATATTAAAATACATCGGATGTGAAAAAATGAAGAAATGACAATTCAAATTCAAAGGCTGAAGTAGAAAAGAATAAAAACAGTTAATGAGGAAGAGGAGGAAGAATCACAGCAACCTTTTCGGTTTCATTTCATTTGAATGATTTATATTAAATATTATATTATATTATACATAACCTCGGTAATTATCATTGTTAAAAAAATCTAATAATTCTATTTTTAACAACGTTTTAGACAAAAATCCTGATGTTGAAACTTGAACTTTCCTTCTTTTTTTTAAGAAAAGCATTGTTTTTAAATAGTAAAAAAAAAAAATTCTTACAAGTGTAACTCTAAGTCTAAGGCAGTGTTTTAAATCGTTCTTCCTCTTCTCCTTATTTTCTTCTTCCTCCTTTTCTTCTTCTTCTTGACATTTTAAAGTTATATTCCCGGTTTTATTCAAACTGGTAAATCTGATGTGAGGTCGTTAAATATATGTGTCTTTATGCACGAGTTCCTCTCCGTAACCACATGCAGCACTCCGTCATCCTGAGCTATAGATTTCACATCATTTCCAGGTGTTTAACATGCGCTCATCGTCCGTACATAATGCGCTGCCTCCTTCACATGACGTGAATATTCATGAATCAACAGCAGGATGTTGTTCTCGAGACGGAACTGACGTCACTCAGGCTGCGGGGCTCTCGTTGTTGTTGTTGTTGTTTTCTGTTCATCCATCAAACCACCTGGGAAAGTCACTGGTAATAACAACCTGTGCCGCTGTTATTGATGAGCTCGATGTGACTCCCACACTGCCCTCTGCAGGGCGCTGAGCACGCATTGTCCTGACTCATCAGCCCCGCTGCCCTCTGTGACGTCACGGTGCGCTTTTTCTGGACGACACCTGCAGAACTTTGTCTCCATTAGTGGAGACACCTGCTGAAGCCGCACAAAACATGATCACGGTGCGGTACACTAGACGTCCAGTAGAGGGCACTGGTGCTCTGAACTCTCACCAGTCCCCGGTCCATCATTAGTGAAATAGATTTTTCACTGTAAGATCAATAAGCAGACTGTCCCTGTAAATGTCCCTCTACATCAGACGCCCCCTGTTGACGGATCATAAACTCGGAAATACTTTTTACTTTCAGTCCATTCGCCACAAAATAAAAAAAAAAATTTTTTATTGCACTTGAATTTATCTCTGTCACTGCTGCTACTGTATATGAACCGTGAAGTGAAGTAGGTACAAGTACATGTCAGT